TTTACAGGAACCTTGTGAGTAGTTTCCTTTATAAAAATTTACTGCGATATTTCGAATATCGTGCCAGCTGAATCATGAGGCGACGTGTGTGCAGCACTTTCAGTTGTAGAATATCATAAACGAGAGATTTAGTTGAGTCTCTCGTGAAAACCAAATTGATTTTCAGATGAGCGCATTTCTCGAAGACTTCCAATTTGTCTGATGAGCCCGGAATAATTGAATGCTGCTGGTTTTGAATCAAGGATTTTCATCTGGATTTCAAAAATTCCTCCTGCATGCGGCGATTTTCATGTGACTGGATTTCTGTTATCCACCAGTTTGTCATCAAATCATACAAACATTATTGGTTATATGGGGTTCAAAACTATACTGATATCTGCAGGGTGCAGTTGATATCAGGTTGCTGATTGGAAAACAGAAAGCAAACTTTTACACAGCGTCCTATCTACTCGACTTCGCCATTGATACCCGAGACGCAGCTGCTCTAAAATCTTTCATTTTCTCAAAAGTCCTTTACGCATTTCGGTTCGTTCAGTTTCGAAGGGATCTTTTTTATTGTACTATTAGTTCGTATGGATAAAGCTCACTCAAGTTGACGGACATTTATGCTCACAGTAACAACCGGCTTGTGTTACAATCACCACCATATCTGGCTTTGATGTGAATAACATACGTGAAGTGCCCTTCTCAGTCGCCAATATTGAACAAGGCGTCTGTGGTCAATTCATTGGTAAACTGAGGGTGAAATCATGCACTAATGATGGGTAGCTCTGGAGTTTCACACATCCGAAAGATGTCGAAGTTTGGCACCTACTGATCCATACTCAAATGACCTTAAATAGCTCTTTCAAGTTTGTGCATCTTTACCGACCCGGAGACTTCAATCGCCAACTCTATGGCTTTTGGAAGGAGACGTCACAGATGTACAGATGCTCATAGATTGTCTGCAGAAATAAATTCACATTGTTATCTTCCCTAGACTGACAAATTTCGGTTTATCGACTAATGCATCCCGTTACCCATAACTGTAATCGAACCCATATTAGAAGCTCTTCCCAGAATGATGGGGTATTCAGCCTTAGTTTTGAAGAGCCCCCTTATCTTTCTCCCTCGTTGTTTTGCCCAACGCTGTGACGAAATGTTTTTAATCAACTTGTCCAGCTTAGAGATCAAACCAACAGCTCCCAACACTGCAAATTTGATGTGGTAACTTCTGAATTACCAGGCATCATGGGAGATCCATCGTACTCTGTTTTGAGTTTCTTCTAATTCAGCTTTCCAGATTTATATTTGGCTGATGCTTTCAGTTGCACAGGTAGTTAGCCTTAGTGGATTCCCAAACGTTTGGGCTGCAAGTGCACAACCCCACCCTAGGTCCTCGGTCCTCTAACGTGTAAGAACGTGTCCGGAACCAAAGACCCAGTGGTATGACACGTTAGAATTTAGGGACCCGAGGACGTACAGCTTATATGCCTCGGTTATAGGGCTGTTACACATCACAGGAATGTTTTGAGCACCGTGAAACTTTAGATAATGCAGGCACTGAAAAAACAAGTCCACAGTAACCCACACACTTTGAACGCGACTTCAGAAAAGGAGGCTATTTTTGTGAGAACGTGTTTTGAAAAGTCGGATTTTCCTTCGTGGTTTTTATAACATATTTTCACATATTGCCCTGTAAGTCTTCTATAAACAATATCAGGTAGTGGGAAAAGCTGCAAATCCGTTTGTTCGTTCATCATGGGTCTAGGACAATGTTTTTTTTAAACATGTTCGTTTGAAACAAGTTACCTGGTTTTTTCACTCTTGCATGCCGAAAGACCTGATATTAACCCCGTTAAGTTGGCTAGTACACTAAATTCCAAGTTTTCCACTTCTAGCATGTCAGCAAACTCGAATTAGTAAAACATTGCTGTGCAGTGATGCACAGTTTCCTATCAAACAAGCTCTGTCAGTCTCTACATTTGTTGATAACCTTATTGGCCCGAAGGAACGAAGATTTGCTCTTTGCCATGGTTCACATGCCCGAAAAACCGTAGAGGTAATATTTTTTTATCTTGTTCTCAGGCTTAAGTTGATTTGGTAGTTTCGTGTAGCACAGTCATCCAAGTTTGTTTCCAAATTCTATCTCATTTAGTATGAAATTTAGTCACTTTTTACTAGCCTGTTGACAGAGTAGGATGTGCGAGAGATACACGAGATGATCCAGATTTGTCACATTCATAAGGAATATGTATTCCTTTTGAGGAGGTAATTATGTGTCAGTTGAAGGCATTCCATCGTGTTTTTACAAACGTAGGAAAGGCGGTCGAGCTTAGATGCATGTATCCTGCGGAAGTTTGATTACCATGGTAAGGGAAATGGAACCACAGTTCTTTTGATGGCAGTCACGTCCATTTTAATATTTCACGATAAAATGTTGCCACCAAAAAGCATCATGTCCGTTATGTCGTTTATTGGTAGCCTATTCCTGGTTAGTCCTTTTTCCAGATTTGAAGACACCTAATACTTACAGAGAGTGCGAGTATATTTGTTGTTGAAGGGGCTGTGTAGAAGCCGACTTTCAGGAAGGTGCCCCTTAGGTGTTTGAAGAAGCAACACAAACATGTATTGTCCAAATACTACTTTAGCACTTGCTGGTCGGTCGAAGTCCTCGAAACAAACATTCTCCCTGTGGTAGCTGATTCGGTGTGTTAGAGAGTTTGCGCGTGTGCGTGTCCGTTTCGTCATTCCCCATCGATCTGACGTGTGACTTGAGTGGCGGATTGGATGCGTGTCCGATTGGTTGGCTCGCGTGAGCCCTGTGGGTTGACCGGACATGTGACTCAGTCGGTTGCTTACCTGCCACGAAAGCGGACCAGTTTGGCCACGTGTACTCAATACACTCGTGTCCGTACTTACGTGTTCTTCTGACTTGCTTCCATCTCCGCTTTCGATCCTGTGAACAGTAGATAAAACAAGCGGTTGTGGGGGGCTGGGGGATGGAACTTTCCTACCAATAAGTCGCTGGATTTGACAAATACACTCATTTGCATATCAATTCGCTTTTCTCGGGAGAGTCACCTGAATCTCCCATTTACGACATTCTTTAGGTGAGTCTACCATGAAAACTAGATTGACGTGCAAACGAGTGTATCTGTAGAATTTCGTGCAATTTGGGTTCAAATAGAACATATGGTTGACGGAAACTCGGGGATTGTATCAACTAGATGGACATCGAGAAGGGCGAAACCAGTAGCGGGCTGCCGGAGAATTCTTAGCACACTTGTGAGTCGTTTTATCCATGAAAAACTGAGCTAAAAAACTCTGTTTCAAACATTTCATCACCGGCTGAGGCAGCGTCATGCTCGTCATTGGAGCGTTGAGTTACTGACTGCGTTAATTACTGAACTGTTTCTCCTGGGATTTACTCGTCATCCGTCATTTGATTTAATGGCTCTGTTGATCGGCTTATCAGCCGGTTTTCTCATTGTTCAACCTCCTTTTCCCCAAACTCAGCTTCTTCGAGCTCCATTCGTTCGTCGGTGCATGGGCTAACTATGAATTTGACCTCTTGGGGTTTTTTGCCGTGGCTAGTGACCTCGAGAGCTCGGATACTTGTTTTTTAATCCGACTACTGGTTCTAGTTGATAGTTTGAACCGAGTCTCCCGTCCTTCGCACATTTGGTGCGTACATGTGGTCCAGTTTGGGATTTTGACCAAACGGATCTACTTTTTCCTTTTTCAGCGAAACAAAATTGGCATTTGAATGAACTGAAAGGAAGGACAATCAGGGCATCAAGTAATCCCAAAGAGTCTCTGGTGGCTATGGTCCGAAAGGTTTTTTGGCAGATAAATATTTCAGGGGTAAAGCATGTGAAGTATGGTAAATGTGTGCATGTTAGTCTAATTCCTTTACTTATTCTACTTAGTAAATTGGCGAAATTTAGGTATGAAGCACTACATTTGGGCACCAGTTGCTTAAGTGATTCCGTAAACGATGACCTTACCGAATGAATAACTTATCAGCTTACTCAGACTAGTAACCGGGATCCCAATTTCGTACTTCATGAAAATCCAGCTGTCCACGTAGCACTCACACTGAATGATAGAATTTTGGACGTGAAGATCCTAACTGCCTTCACTAAAAGCAAAACTTCTCTCGCTAGATTAAAAATAAACATAGGGGAACATGACCTTGATAGTTCGGAAGGTCTTTGAAAATTGTGCTCTACCCCAGAGTCCGAAGAAACCATATCTGGTCCATCACGAAATAATCCACCCCAGTATTGAATTAAACTAGACAGACTACGGTATTACCATGACTGATGGTAGATTGGTTGAAAATTATCTCAATCGGGATCTCATCAGCTGCCCCAGCAACTAACATACAGTGTGACAAGCGATCCGGAAGTAAAGTACTCGCTGAAAATGACCAATGTTTACCCACACACAGAGCTGAAATAAGTGTCTTGGACGTAACAAGGACGGGAAAGGCATGCTTCATCACTGATCAAAACTTCCCAGCAACAGCCCCGCTCCTAATCATGGAGTAGGGTATTGAATTTGGATCTAAAGCGTTGGATGATGTGAAATCCCTTTGTCCTAATGGAACTGTCCTTTACTGCTACTTCTTGACCCGTTTTGAAGCCTTCTGTTGGAGGCTGTGAGTAGTCGAACAAACCTGAAAGCAATTTCACGCTTATGGGTGTAGTCCACTCTATTTGATTCCCACGGTAATTTCTCACTGGTAGAATGTGGTTTTGTGGATCACAATAACTTCACAGAATTCACTGGTCGATACTACCTGGATTGGTTGCCTCTTTGAGCGGCATCAGTGTTGTTTTCTTTGACTGGAATGGAGTCGGTCAAAAATAGAGAATGATCCCACTCACAAGAATAAAAAAGCGTTTCTCGAATTAGAAGGAATTGGTGAAATTCGGTTCATCCGTTTTGAACTCGAATACAAAGATTTTTTCTTCCAACTGTAGGAAGCCCTCATTTTTGAGAGACACTTGAAAAATTTGAACTTATAACAAATGATTGTTAATAACTTTGATGCAACCTCGGTCAGTGTAGCCACAGGTTTCTTCTCAAGTGAAAAATACGTAAGTTCCTCTGGTTGCAGCATAGCCTTCCACTATGCTCAGACGGTCTCGATGTGCTTCGCGATAGGCTTGATATTCCCTGGAGTCATAAGAAACAATAGGGATATATGAACCGACTATTCGCGTCAACTGAGGAGTTGGCCGGATCACAGTAATACGCCCGAGGATCGTGTTCTTGCGATGTCTCTTCTCAAGCATAACGGCAGCACCAAGATTCTGAAATATCCCTCCAAAATGTGATGCACTGAAAACTGTCAGCAGTTTTCCGTTGGCCATAAATTCATATCCGGTTTTTACAAAATCGTGTGATCTAATAAATAACTCAAAGCCGAATCGATCGCAGAACTCCTCAACTTCTTTTTCCCCAAACCACTCTCCTAGACCTGCAGGGTTCGAACATCTGTCCCGGGTGTCTATCACTGGTTCTGACCAGGCAAGTTGAGTTAATAAAAAATTATGTGTCAAGGGTACCGGCCTTCGTATAACGTCATTGATATAGTCTTTAAGCTGCCCTACACTTGTGTACGAAGTGTATTGGAGACAGGGCACCAACCCACTATGCGCACAAAATATAATGTCTTCGATGATTGCTGTGGCTGGAAGGCAGTTGAACGCTGCCATGAAACCGTGCCAGACCTGCTTGCTAAAGCGCTTTGTGCAATCAGCCAGAAAGCCATAATGACACGAGATATATTCGCATTCGTGGTTACCACGTAGCATAAAAATATGTTTTGGGAATTTCAACTTCAATATAAACAACAAGCATATGACTTCAAGTGACTGAGGACCACGATCACAATAATTTCCAAGAAATAGATATCTTCGCCCAGGTGGAAATCCAAATACCTCAAAAATCTCTATCAGATCCATATATTGCCCAAACAGATCACCCACAATGCAGATTGGTTCTTTCAGATCCAAATCCAAGCACACTGGATCTTCTAGAAGTATGTCACACATGTAGTCAGTGATCTCCAGTAATTCGGGCTCGCTAATGTCCGCCTTTTCTCCTCGTTTTACAGCGCGTTGAAGCAGGTTCTTCAGAATGCCGTTCACCTTGTTGGCTTTCCACTTCTTTTTGTGGCCAACCATGATGGTTTCCGCAGCAAATGTCCTAAATCTGTACCAAATAGCAGACTCTGAGAATCAGGGGCTTGGAGTTATGTTTTAAAACATATTGATTTTTGGTCAGATGATCAAAAGTGTTATGACTAGATTCTATTTGCAGTCTTGAAGTTTTGTTCTGCTTTCTATTCATTTGCTCAAGTCACACAGTCAGATAGCTTAAGTAAATGTGATGAACATGACTGATACTCTATTCGTTGCTCTATTCATTATTCTCTTGTTTTAATATTCCATATGCTGTACATATTCGCCAGTTCGAATACATACGTGCTGGTTGTTACGCTTCGCTGAATTCTGGATTTCTAGTTCGTCTGGTTATACCGATATACGTACGAAACTCAATTCTCACATTTTGGCGTCGCGATTGGAACGACTCATCATGCCTGCCGAAATGGAACCATTAGATGTTAATTCAACTGCGCGTGACGTAGAGGATTATTTGGAACGGTTCGACATATGGTGCCTCACAAAATCCGATATGGATGATAAGAAACTCACTGCATATTTCCTACATTTCGTTGGCAAGGAGGCGTATACTTTGATCAAGAATTTAGTATATCCTGAATCTCCAATTGATATTTCTTACACTGCATTGAAAAACAAAGTTCTTCAACACTTCAAACCGATTAACTTCGTAGCAGCCGAAAGAGCTAAGTTCAATATGTTAGCCCGCTCTCATTCTCAGTCGGTTCGTGATTTCGTGTTACAGCTGCAGACACAGGCAGCCAAATGTGACTATGGTGCCCAACTGGAAGACCAGCTGCGTGATAGACTCATTGCTGGCATTCAACTGCCCGAATTACAGCAGAAGCTGTTACTCTGTCCGGATCAGAAATTTCAAACTATTCGGAAAATATGTGAGCAGTATGAAGATGTGAAGCATGTGACGAAGACTGAGGAAGCAGTCTTGTTAAATTATTCTAAAAGAAATAATTCAAGGATGCGGACGAACAACAAATTCAAACCTCGAACAGATTCTCGTGCCTCAAATCCATCAACACGTCACTTCACAGATCGTAACCCTAATCCGATGGCTCAAAAATTCGGGAAATGCGAGTCTTGTGGACGAAACCATTCCAGATATTCATGCCCCCACAGACGAGCCAAGTGTTTTAGCTGCGGTAAAACAGGACACATTCAACTTGTCTGTAAGTCCAAGAAAGTGTGTCACTTAACTTCTGACCCAAACACTGACGTGAAGACATTATCTGAAGATATTTCTACTCTTTCTCTATCTGTTTTGTCCCAAAATTCGTCACATGTTTTTAAAACGTTGATATCCGCTTCTGGTCAAAAGCATGGCTTTATTGTTGATACTGGTAGTGTTGAGTCCATCATTCCACAATCAGATCTAACTGCATTCTACCCCAGTGCCGTGATAGTGCCTACAGATATTAACATTCGCGGTATCACTGGACATTCTGTACCTCTCGTTGGTAGTTGCACGATCCCTGTGAGGTTACTACAAGGTACCTGTATCGATTGTAATTTTTTGGTATCAACGTCGGGACCATCGATCGTCGGACTCAAAGTTCTACGCTTACTGCAAACCAGTATCACCTTACTGACTTCTGCGAATGAGAATGAACTCAAGCAACTGATTCTTAAATGTTCTAAGGCCACAGGTGGCATGCAAATTCCCAAGATGAGGCTCGAAGTTACAGGAGAGCCTATATTTCTTAAGAGACGGATTATTCCATTTGGTTTACGCGAGCCTGTTCGTCAAGCATTAAATTCAATGTGTGCGAAAGGAATACTGACTCCTGTTGAGTCATCGAATTGGGCAACTCCGATCGTTACCCCACTGAAGGCTGATGGTATTACTCCGAGAATTTGTGGTGACTACCGGCTTACGCTAAATACGCGGCTACTACAACGTACATGCACCACGGAAGAGCCAGAAGATGTATTGTATCGTTTATCAGGTTCAAGTGTGTTTTCAAAAATCGATTTAAAAGATGCTTATCTTCAAATACCACTGGACGAAGCCTCCAGTAACCTTACCGTGATCAACACACCCTTTGGGTTATTCCGATACAATTTTCTTCCCTTTGGTCTGAACGTTTCACCAGCTGTATTTCAGCAAGTTATGAATACTATTGCAAAAGATTTGGAGGGTGTTGAGACGTACCAAGATGACGTCATTGTGCACGCTGCTGACAAAGCTACCCATGATATGCGTCTGTTGTCTTTACTGAAGAGATTTTCTGAGTTCAATGTAGCTATTCATCCTGAAAAATGCACTTTTGGTGTCCCATCATTTTCATGCCTTGGCTACATTGTGGATGGCAGCGGTTTTAAACCTGATACAAGACGTCTATCCCCTTTAGTAAATGCGCCATCACCGACCAATCTACAAGAACTGCGTTCAGTTCTAGGAGCACTTCAGTATTACTCTCGTTTCATTCCTAATTTCGCCAAACACGCAAGTTGTCTGTTTGATATCATATCTTCCAATCAATTTTCTTGGTCTTCCAACCATGAGAAGGCGTTGCGTGCACTGCTTGGTTATCTTCAGACTTCAGCTGTTTTGAAGCCATTTTCCGCCAAACATCATTCGACGATCATTACTGATGCTTCTCCCACTGGAATAGGAGCAATCCTTGAACAGTGTGGTAGACCAGTGATCTGCATTTCCCGTCGACTTTCAAAAGCCGAACGTGGATATTCTCAGACTCAACGAGAAGCACTTGCTGTATATTGGGCTGTCAAACGGCTTCATAAGTATCTTTTTGGATTGAACTTTACCATTGCTACTGATCACGAGGCTTTGAAGTTCTTGTATCATCCAACGAAGTCTCTGGCGAAGTCATCTGCCGCTATGGTGCAACGGTGGATTATTGCATTGAGTTCTTACACCTACACAGTAGTTCATCGTAGTGCGAAAATGATTCCTCATGTCGATTTCTTGTCAAGAATTCTATCATGTGACTCTGATTCAAACAACTCAGATTGTCTACTGATTCAACCATTACCAGTCAAGCGGGATGTGCTTGTTGCTGACACTAAAAGATATTTCGCTCCCATTTTCTCTGCACTGCGACGTGGCTGGACGCAGCAAGAACGACGCCGATTTCCTGCTTTTTACTGTCGCCGCGAAAGCTTGTCCGTTACTCCGGATGGTTTGCTGTGTTTTGAGGATAGAGTTGTCATTCCACCGACTCAGCGAGCGGCTGTTCTTGCAGATTTACACTCTGGTCATCTGGGTGTCGATAAAATGAAATCCCTTGCACGCTTGTCATGCTGGTGGCCGGAACTGGATGCTGATATCAAGCATACTGCTAAGAATTGTGTTAAGTGTGCACATAAGATTCATAACAAGTCTTCACAGTGGCATCCGTGGCCAGTTACTTGTGAAGCATTTCAACGAGTTCATGCTGACTACTGTGGTCCTTTTCTTGGTAAATACTATGCTTTAATTCTTATTGACGCATATTCCCGTTGGCCTGAAGTTTTTCTAACTACTTCTCCAAGTGCCGAATTCACTCAGCAAGCCTTGAGGAAAGTATTCAGCCACGAAGGTGTACCAACTGTTTTGGTCACTGACAACGGCACACACTTCACTGCAAAATTCCTCGAGGAATGGTTGAAGGGTCTTGGTTGTCGACATCTGTTTACTGCTCCGCGACATCCCCAGTCGAATGGACTTGCTGAAAATTTTGTCCGAATACTTAAATCTGCTATTATTTCACTCTCTCCCACTACTTTTGTGGAATTGGACCGTGGGATTGATAATTTTCTAATGCAATACAGGAACGCCGTCCATTCCGTTACTGGGAAGAGTCCCGCGCTTCTATTTAAATCTCGTTCGTTGCGTACAAGTCTTGACTGTGCCAAAACGGCTGATGTTACATTTTTCAAGGGTAATGATTTACGACCCGCAACAGGAATAGTGCTTTCATCAAATGGCAAACGAATGGTCACAATTCTCGATTTGGATGATCTCTCTTGTCATCGGAGACACATTGACCAGGTTGAGTTCAATACCAGAGGTCAGTCTGTTAACGGCACTCCTGCTGTTTCAAATACTAATGAGTCCTTTGTAGATGATCTTGTGGTATCCGAACAAAATGCTGTATCTGAAGAACGTACTACCTGTGAAGATTCTGAAGTTTCCATTCCGAGAAGATCCGAAAGATTGCGGTCAAGACCACCACTGGACTATAAACACCCGCACGCTCATTCAAGGTGTGGCGGATGTGATGAACATGACTGATACTCTATTCGTTGCTCTATTCATTATTCTCTTGTTTTAATATTCCATATGCTGTACATATTCGCCAGTTCGAATACATACGTGCTGGTTGTTACACTTCGCTGAATTCTGGATTTCTAGTTTGTCGGGTTGTACCGATATACGTACGAAACTCAATTCTCACAATAAACTTATCTCTTCTCCAGAAAAAATGAAGCTGTGTTATGGATCGAATAGTGTTCTGAGTCTAATTGGCTGCACGATCATAGGCAACAGGACAAATATTGATCAAGTGTACAAAGACTCATTAGCTAACTGAAGACTTGTAACCCATCGGTCAGTTTCTCACTTGCCGAAAATCTTCAGAAGTATGTGTTCCACTAGATGGTAGCACTAAACATTTTTCAAAGAACGCCAAAGCTTGCATCATTTTTTCCCTACTTGACTTGTTTTCCAATGATTGAATAAAATAGAAACTTCATTATTTTTTATAGGGAGCGTTCGATGTACACTACATTTGAATTTGGGCTTTTGAAAACGAAACCTAAGAAAAAGGAGAAAAAAGGTTATGTCTAGGATTTTACGGTCGCTTCATCTCTAGGATGCCACAATAAAGCATGAAATCCATGATAAAACGTTAGATCAGACAATTGTTGCATAAAGACGACTAAAGAACGGTTAATGTAGCTTGTCATCCAGTTTTTCGGATTTCATAAGCACAGAGGTACATCAGCCTCAGGTGATGTGATGGATCGACGAAGAATGAATCCTGTGTGTAGGTGGCGCTCACCAAGTACAGCATTATCAAAATAGAAAAGAGTCGGCTGTCTTAACTAAAGTAAGACCATAAGCCATAAACAGTTTACAGGAAATTGGGATCGCTCATATTTATAGTCTTCACAGAACTGAGTGATTTTCAACTACCAAACACTCAATCTCAGGGGACAAACCCCTCGAAGATTACTATAACATTGTCCTAATTGGGGGGTATTAAAACATCTAAAAAGTGAAAGTTGGACCCGATAATGCAGAAGAACAGCTCCGCTGTGTTTGGAAGTACAAGGATAAGCTTGCGGAAAAGCCTTTTCTCAGCAGAACCTGTTAGTCATAAGGTTGCCAAAAACTCTTTGACAGCTTACAATCCACTTCGTTTTTCTTGGAGTCTCTCAGACAGCGACAGTTCCTGAGTTTCCGTTAGACACATATTCAAATTGGGAACCAAACTGTACGCAAAATGGAAGATTACAAAAGTTTCCAAGTTAACACGCGACTCAACTGAGGGTGCGTTCGCGAGCGTGCAATCGTTGAGAAAACAAGAGTAAAATGAAGACTAATTCCAAGGTACACCTTGGATACCGAGTAATTTAGAGTCCAAATGTTTTAATTATGAGCAAATAGTTTGATTGTAGATTTTCTGATTCCCACATGAATATGGTTTTTTCCATGCAAGCACTGCCGCCTCATGCACTAAATTTTTGATCAGTTTAGTTATTGAGGATGGGAACCGGCCATCTTCAGCGTGTTTGGTTGCTTTTTTTATTTTTTGAGTTATCAGAAGTCTGACGTGTCCTTATCTACCGAAATCAAATGCTCAAGTTGAGAAGGTTCATGATATACTCAAATAAACAGTTCCTAAACAACGGGGCATAATTGCGCAACGTAAGAACGTCCTTCGTCAAATGTGTTTATATAAGCATCATCAAATGCTTCGTCTGCTAATGAAGCTGCATTCGGTCGGCATGTGGGTTTTTCTTTGTATCAGGAAGGTTAGATTCCTGAAAGTAACCTCAGAATGCCAGGAACCTACTGCCCCACCAAAGTCTTAACAGGAAAGCCGGCAAGCATCTGGCCCAGTCAATCATTCAATCAATTCAGTAAAAGCTGATGAGTGTTCATGCACGCCACAGAGGCACGATCGATGTTGACGGGTGTTCACCAACGCCCGTCAGAGAGCCGTGATCAATGTCAGAAAGTCCTCTTTAAATAGCGTGGAGCTATTGTAACTTTCGCTCCCGCACTCGCACTCACGCTCTCGCACTCGTTTGTTCGGAATATAACTGTTGTATTCCCTTCTGTGAGTCTTTTTTCTCCGGCACTAGGCACTGGAGCGGGTTAGCAGCAGGTCGGCGAATCAGCAGATATAACACTTTGGATTCAGTGCTGCCGGTATCAGTAGGAAAGTCTCCGGCTACCCCATTTCACTCCACCATAATGTGCAGGCGTGTACCCGTTTGGAAGCGGTTCTCATCGGTGCGTATCAGGACATGCAACCAACCGCACTGGCAGCCACATTTACAAGGTTGTCATGAGTAAGCTCGTGAAGATTATAACATAGACTAGGTACGACACATTTTGGAAGTGGCCCCTAGATGTGGGAACCGATATTCTGTTATCCTATATATATTTGGTAACGTAGTAGATACCAGCAACAGAGTAGCATAAAAATTCCAACGAAGTGCTCTCACCAACGCAAACCAGTCCCTCAGACCGAAAGTTCGACACAATTTGGCACAGTAATTTCTATTAGATAACTCCAGGCTGAGTTGTACAATTTGTCTTATAGCTTCTTTAGGTGGGTCTCAGATATGAAAGCTTTCCAGAAAGCAAACATGTATGAAATCAAGAGTACCTTGCTTTAAAACTAGCTGCGATGTTTAGGCCACTTGGAACCCATGGCGTCGAACGGTATCCCCACAAAACCGCTATACAGGTGGTTGAAGAACGGCTTACGAGACTGAGGGGATTGGAACCAGGATATAAAGATGAAAATAGATTTTAGATGAGCTTAAGAAAACCGTAACTTTGATTTTAGATTGTGAGAAACACAGGCGGCTAGTGAAAAACAAAACACGGGCGTGGCGCGTTTCGGGAGTCGACGGATCTCGGTGTACGCACATAAACCAATTGCTTTCGGGCGTCTCTCGACGAGCATACCAGCTCTGGTATCGGTAAATTTATGACACTAGTTCACCTGTAGATGCATATGCCTGACAAAGTTGGGTCCTGGGGATGATGGGACTCTTACAGTGACCTAGTCGCAAAGCCCTAAAATTTAGGTTGAGATACGTATGCTCTGAACAGATGGAATTGTGTTTCTGCTGAGGCTGTACAACCTGTTCATCTGTGGCAACCAAAATAGTCCGATCTGGGTGACTCTGGACGTACGGATGTATAGTATTTTGCAGAAGAAGTACGAGATTTCACCTGCTCAAACTGCCCGAAGAAGTGACGCGTGCCCCTTTGAAGCCGCATCAAAGAATGGATATCATGAGGAACTACCTGATACCAAGGCTGACATATTCGCTCGTGCTCGGCCAAGTCCACAGGAACACGCTAAAAAGACTGGACAACTACATCAGGCAATATATTCGTGGCTGGCTACGTCT